AAACGTTTCGGAGGTGTCTTCTGGGTTGATGCCGTGCACAACGCCACGGATGGAGTCGCCGGTCATGGCTTCGTGAGCCACAACGTCAACTGCCCGGTCGTGGGCAGTGAGGGTGCGCATTGCGAGGAGCTGATCAGCGTGCGTACGGTTTCGTACCGTAACGGAGATTCTGTCGGTGGCTTTACCTATTCGGAAGTACGGCGTGTCTTTCGTGTCACAGGCTGAGGCATGTAGACCCAACGTGGCGTAGAAACCGCGCTGGATCGTGCAGGCAGGAATACGAGTGAGGTCTTACCCGTTCCGGGAACGGAATACAATTTGGGTCTTTCGTCAGTGGCAGAATCTGGGTGGTCTGATGAGGACAAGGGCGAGAGTGGTGCGCCGAGGAAGTGCCGCTGCTGAGGGGGTCTCTGTTTGCGGTAGCACGCCGTTTCCCAGCCTACTTCAGCGTCGTCAGCGTCGCCATCTTTGCTGTCCTTGCCAGCGGCGGCTGTTGACTTAGAGGCTGTGGGGCCAGGCGTCACTTGAGACACAACGAGTGGGGGTGACTCACACGAAACGGTGTGGTGATCTGCGGTGTCGAGAGTAGCAGTAGGATGAGCGACATGCTCCATTTCGGTGTCGGCACCGTCGTCCTCGCTGGCTTCGCACAGACTTGCAGCGACACTGGATGTACTCGGGTGTCTTAAGCGCTTCGAGGTGGGTCATGGCGTTGGTGCGGAGTCTCGGTTTTCTTCCGTCGAACAGTTGCTCGGATGACAAGAGACTCGGGCGGTGAAGTCGTGGCTATCTTCGATGGCGATTCCAGAGCAGAAGTCCAGTCGATTGAATTCGAGGTAGATCTAGTGGCAGGGGTGATATCTTTGTCTTCTATTCCGGCGTTCAGCGGCGCGTTTGAAAGCAGGTGCGAGGCCGCCGCAGGCACGGCCATGCCGTCGGCGAGCACACCGGGCGCTAGGCCCGAGGCCTAGCTTCCTTCGTTGTTGGGGACGAGCAAGAAGTAGAGATAAGGCGGAAACGCAAAACTCACTCGGTCACAGAATGTGTCGATATGGTCCGGTGGCCCTCCTGGGATGGTCCGAATGTTGAGCTGTGTCGCGATCGTTTCCGAAAAGGCAAATCTGGGCGATCAAACGGCGGAGCTCGACGCGACACGTCCGCTCCCCCCGCCGAATCTTCGAGATAGTGACTCACTCTAGATACGAGGCCGCCCGCGACCTTGTCGAGTCAGTCTCGCCTTAGCGTTCGATTCTGCTGTTTCGCCGCCATCGACGGCTGCGACGCTATACTTTTTCTGTTCTGTTATTTGGGCACAAGTTCGCCTCATTAAACGTTTAGTTTCTTTAGTTATTCTTCGCCTCATCATTTGCCATTCGTGACATTTTGGTGGAGGTGCGGGGTACCGCATGTCCGTGCAGCGTTCCCCTCCAGGAGCCCGCAGTGCCAGTTCGATTCCAAGCCCGGTGAAAAGACCACTCTACGCGGAACCTGAAACTCGCACCAGCCGCCGCACCAAGGGAGAGGATCCTGAATACGGTTTGCTTCTGGACAAGCCCAAGCCGAAGAAGAGGACGATGGCCAACCAGGCGCAGATCCCAGCCGCTTCTGTCGTCATATACCTGCCCGTCGCAACCAAAAATCCGCCGCCTTTCCACGGAGACGCCCACGAGGAGATCGAGGACAGGCTGCAACATTATGAACGTGTGGCCCGCCATAACCGGTGGTCAGGTGAGCACTGTTTGCAGAACATTTACTTTTCGCTGGAAGGAACTGCGAGGCACAGGCTGGAAAACCACGAGGCTTCTTTGACGTCGTGGGAACTGTGCAAGCAAGAACTGAACAAGACGTTTGCCTGCCAACACCGACGTGAGAGGGCCGAAGATCTTCTGCGAACAAGAACCCAAGGCCTAAATAAGAGCATCACCAGCTTCGTCGAGGATGTTCTACGCCTGAGCGTCCGCGTCGATGCTCAGGCAACAGAGGAGAAGAAGCTGCACCACTTGATGGGTGGTGTCAAAAGCGAGATATTCGGCGTTCTCATCCGCAATCCCCCGAAAACAGTCGACGAGTTCGTCACGGAGGCGACAAATAGTAAACGGGCCCTGCTAGCACGCGCCAGACACTACCAACGACAACATGGCGTAACTACTCAGACGACATCTGGATCCGACCTGGGCACCGCCCTCCCCGGCATCCGTAACATTTTCCGTGAAGTCGTCCAGGAGGAATTGAAAAAGCTGCTGCCCGCTGCCGCTTGCCCGGCCTCGCTCTCCATCGCCGAGGTCGTGCGGGAAGAAGTTCAGAGAGCCATCCAACCAGAGCCTCCCGTACTCGTGGCAGCCACCGAGGAGCCCACGTTGACACACGTCGCGGTGGCCCAACAGCCACCGCCTCCTCCTCGCACCTATGTCGCGCCGCCCCGACGTCAGTCTCCTGCGCCGCAGCACGACAGACGCCACGACGACCCGGTGCAGTACGCCCGCCCGGAGCCTCGCGCATCCCGTAAAACCGACGTGTAGCGAACGCCCGACCGACGCCCTCTGTGCTTCCATTGCGGGGAAGCAGACCACACCTACCGCCGATGCCCATACCGACGACTTGGGCTGCGCGGGTTCCACCCGAACGACCCGCGCCCCCGTTATGATGAGCGACCTCGGGAGATCGACGAGTACCTGCGACGACCTCAGTCCCCCGAGCCTGCGTCCCGCCGAGAGTTCCGATCGCCGTCGCCACGACGTCCACCTTCCCCGATGCACCGACCCCGACGTGAAAGCCTGTCACCCCTCGCTCCTTGCCGGGGAAACTAGGCGCGGCAACCCCTGGAGGTGGAGTTGCTGAAGATGACCGATGCCAAGATCCTTCAAGAACGTCAAAGGGCTTCCACTCGAACGCTAGCAGAGATCGAAACGACGCCCCTGCAGCGGTGTCCAATAACCTAAACGTCGTCATCGACGGCCATGACGCATCCGCGCTCGTGGACACCGGAGCAGACTACTCAGTCTTGAGTGGGAGGCTCTCCCTCCGCCTTCGCAAAGTCACGACGCCGTGGGATGGACCTCAAATACGAACCGCCGGAGGGCACCTCATCACAGCGGTCGGGAGATGCACTGGTCGCGTGGAGATCCACGGTGAGACGTGCCCTGTCAAGTTTTGCGTTCTGCAAGACTGTTCGAGGGACATAATCCTCGGAATGGACTTTCTCTGCGAGTATGGCGCCGTCATCGACCTCGGAGCAAACCGGCTGACGCTTCGATAGCCTGCTCCACCACAGGAGGACCCCAAAGCGACGTCAATCGCAGTACGAGTCCTCGCGAACCACGTGAACCTCCCGTCGCGGTCAAGTGTTTTCGTACCCGTCGGGGTCGATGAGACTTTTTGCGGCGACGTTTTGCTCGAAGGAAGCCACCAGTTGCTTCTAGGAAGAGGGATCGGCATCGCAAGAGGCGTCGCGGAGCTCCAAGACGGACACACTGTCTCACTCGTAACGAACTTCCGACAGTAGGCCCAGCACCTCACGAAAGCCACCGCCGTGGGTCACGCCGAGGAACTCCCGCACTCAGCCGCAATCATCGGAATATCAGAAGACCTCTCTTCGTGGCCAGTCAAGACATCGCCGCCTTCGCAGTTTGACATCGACCCAACCCTGCCAACCCCACAACGACGACAACTCAGTGACCTTCTCGCCGACTTCAATAAGTGCTTCTCCACGTCGTCAAAAGTGCGCCAAACGACAGTTGGAAAACACCGAATTTTCACTGAAGACAACGCGCTTCCTGTCCATCGGTCGCCGTACCGTGTCTCTGTCAAAGAAACAGAAGTCATCCAGAAGCAGGTCCAAGAAATGCTCGATGACGACATTGTCCAGCCCTCAAGCAGTCCGTGAACTTCACCGGTAGTCCTGGTGAAAAAAAGAGACGGGACTCTTCGGTTTTGCGTGGACTATCACCGACTAAACGCCCTAACGAACAAGGACGTCTACCCGCTGCCACGCATCGACGACACTCTGGACCGGCTGCGCCATGCAAGATACTTTTCGTCGATGGACCTGAAGAGTGGGTACTGGCAGATTGAGGTCGACGAACGGGATCGTGAGAAGACTGCCTTCGTCACGCCGGACGGACTGTACGAATTTAAAGTGATGCCGTTCGGACTGTGCAGAGCACCGGCGACGTTCCAGCGCGTAATGGACACCTTTTTTTCCGGCTTGAAATGGCTAAGGTGCCTCTTCTATCTCGACGACGTCGTGGCATTCGCAAGCGACTTCGACGGGCACCTGAGACGTTTGCGAGCCGTGCTACTGGCTATCCAGAACGCTGGACTACACTAAAGCCGTCAAAATGTCGACTCGCTTATGGCGAGCTCAAATTCCTGGGCCATGTCGTGGGTGCTCAGGGTGTAAGCCCTGATCCTGCCAAGTCATTCGCTGTTGCCGAATTTCCGAAGCCATCAGACAAGAAAGCCGTAAGAAGATTTCTTGGGCTCTGCGCTTACTACAGACGTTTCGTTCGCAATTTTGCCAAAAATTCTGCACCGCTCACACATCTGACCAAGGACGACGTGAACTTCCATTGGGGGGGCGAACAAGAACAAGCGTTCAACGAACTGAAGGAAAGGCTCCAGTCGCCCCCTATCCTCGGACACTTCGATCCATCAGCGGAAACGGAAGTTCACACGGACGCCAGCAACGCCGGGCTCGGCGCGGTACTTGTCCAAAGACAAGACGGAGCATCGAGGGCGATCGCTTACGGAAGCAGGGCACTGTCCAAGGCAGAGAAGAATTACTCGACGACCAACAAGGAATGTCTCGCAGTCATCTGGGGGTTAACCAAGTTCCGCCCGTACCTGTACGGGATCCCGTTTCGCGTTGTCACGGACCACCACGCTCTCTCTTGGCTCGCCAACCTCAAGGACCCGTCAGGTTGCCTCGCTCGCTGGAGTCTGCGACTGCAAGAATTCGACTTGACCATTGTGCATATGTCTAGTTGCAAGCATAAAGACGCCGACTGTTTGTCTAGGGCCCCAGTCGAATCTCCTCCCAAAAGCATTGACGACGACGATGACGCCCGTTTTCTCGGCGCAGTTACAGATGCCGACATGGGAGCACTTCAACGAGACGACTCGGAACTTCGCGCCGTGATCGACCACCTCGAAGGCAAAGGAAGTTCAGTTCCGCGAGTCTTGGCCCGAGACTTGTCAAGCTTCGTTCTGCGGCGAGGCGTTCTCTTCAAGAAGAACTTCGGAACGAGCAACCCTGCCTGGCTGCTGGTTGTTCCGGCCAGCCAGCGAGAAGAAATCTTTCAAGCATGTCACGACCCCCCGACGGCTGGACACCTTGGCTACAGCAGGACGCTCGCCCGGATTCGTGACAAGACTCCCGAAAACCGTGCGAGACTCCCGAAAACCGTCCATCTTTACACACGGTCGTGCCATGAGTGCCAACAACATAAGAAGCCTCCGACAATGCCAGCAGGACTCCTGCATCCGATATCTGCCCCGACTACGCTCTTCCAGCAGGTCGGAATAGATTTGCTTGGGCTGTTTCCAACATCGACGCAAGGAAACCGCTGGATTATTGTCGCGACCGATTATCTTACACGATACGCCGAGACGAAAGCCCTTCCATCGGGAACAGCGGTGGAAGTCGCCAAGTTTTTCATCGAGTTTATTCTCCTTCGACACGGCGCACCTGAAGTGCCGATCACAAATCTAGGGTCATCTTTCCTGGCACAGCTGACTCAAGAGGTACTTCGGCTGAGTCACACCAGCCATCGACGAACCACCACTTATCACCCGCAGACCAACGGGCTAACAGAGCGGCTGAACAAGACCATCGCCGACAGTGTCTCCATGTACGTCGACGTGGAGCAGAAGACGTGGGACGAGGTGTTGCCGTACGTTACATTTGCGTTCAGCACAGCGGTAGAAGAAACCACAGGGATGACGCCGTTACAACTGGTACACGGCCGGACGGTTACCACGATGCTGGACGCCATGCTGCCTCACGTGCCAACCGATGATGGCAACGACGACGCTCAATTGATCTCTCAACGCGCGGAGGAAGCTCGCCAACTGGCAAGAATCAAGATTCAAGAGCAACAGCGAGTCGACGTACGCCGGTATAACCTTCGTCGCCGTGACGTCCACTTTCAACCCGGAGACCGGGTGTGGGTGTGGACACCAATCCGCCGCCGTAGTCTCAGCAAGAAACTACTGAAGCGCTACTTTAGACCCTACAAAGTGCTTCGTCGACTCGGAGGTCTGAACTACGAGGTGATGCCCGATGGAACACGTACTTCATCACGCCGCCCTCCACGACGACAATTCGTCCACGTTGTGCGCATGAAGGCGTACTGCGCTCGATAGGGCTGTGGACCTTACGTGTTCCAAATGACTCTGGTTTACCGTTATTTCTGTCTGCTTGTTTTCGGTTTTTGCTGCATCGGGACGATGCGCTTTTAAAGGGGGGGGGGGGGGGGATAATGCCGCGCGCAGGACTTGCAGAAGGTTCTCGTTTATTCTTGCTGCGAACATAACTTCTATCGTTTATCCCTTCTTTTGTTGTTCTAGAAAGTGCCTGTTCATTCTCGCCCCGAGCACGCTACGCTCGAACCTTCCCCGCCGAATCTTCGAGATAGTGACTCACTCTAGATAAGAGGCCGCCTACGACCTTGTCGAGTCAGTCTCGCCTTAGCGTTCGATTCTGCTGTTTCGCCGCCATCGACGCCTGCGACGCTATCCTTTTTCTGTTCTATTATTTGGGCACAAGTTCGCCTCATTAAACGTTTGGTTTCTTTAGTTATTCTTCGCCTCATCATTTGTCATTCGTGACAAATGATGAGGCGAATTGTATATTTTGTGTGTTTTAAAATGAGATGAGAAGATAACCACCCTTATATTGTGAGGATATACGGCTATGACGATTCCGCAGGGAAAACGAAACCGACGTTAAGATATCCAAGAATTTATTTTATCTTCCATTTTACAATACAAACGATCCTCCTAAATCTAGACGCACTTAATCCTTGCAAAAAAGCGCATTAAAATGTGTCATCATATATATGTAGATTAAAAAATTCTCCTGTCGCATTCTTCTATCTATACATAATATAAAAACAGTAGTGCGGTTGAACTGATTGACACGCCATTTTATTGTTGAAAATAAACCGAGAAGTTACTACTGCGCTTATTTTAAAAATGACTTTTCAGTTTAGAAAAATATCGCCCCGCAAAAAATGACGCGTCCCCAATGCTTGAGCACTGTCTTGATATGATGCTGCGAAAGATTGAGAATACGGTGTTACCTGAATTGTAAAGTAAAACACAGAAACACACATATACTTATGATGAAATATCCTGTTAGGTCTAGCATCGAAAATCCAGAAATGGCTGGTAAATAGAACATACTGAACAATAGAACACACTGAACACTAAAGGACCAGGCTCGATATAAAATAAATCGTAAAAATCGTCGCCTGTACGTTGTAATCTAAACGTTTCGCCAAAGGTGTACTTCACAGGTCGGTTTCTTTCTTGTAAAATTATAAATCGTAGCTCCCTTTCCGAAAATATAGGGCCAAGAAACTTGTTAAGGTAAAGGTCGGGCGGCGACGCAGACGACGAAGTCGATTTGCGGGGCGTGTTTGGTGCGCGTATTGATTGATAGCGTCTGGAGCAGGGTCGCAAGGTACAGACGACCAGCGAAGGAAAGCAGACGACGTGCAGACGAAATCCGTCTGCACGACTTTAAGTTTTGCTTATATTGTCTGCATTTATATTTTAACCAAAGATAAACTACAAAAGATCATCTTCGTTTTAATAAAGCACGGCGGTCGCGAGCCGTTTTGCAAAGGAGATAGTGGCGTTTATCAATACGAGCGCCAAGCGCGCCCGCCACTCGACTTGGTCTTCTGCGTCGCCGCGCGTCGTTTACCTTGTCAAGTTGCTTAGCCCAAGTGCTTACAGAAAGGGAGGTGCGCTTTGTAATTTTACAAGAGAACATTGACCTGTTACATACACCTTTGACGAAGAGTTCCGATGGCTAGTTGCAGGCGTCGATTTTTACGGTTCGTTTTATATTGTGCCTCGTGACTTGGGACGCCTATGTTAAGAAAGATCGTTTTATTTCATATCACACTTGACTTACTCAGCTAAAACCCAACATAAGAAGTTTCATTGTGGATGCCTGTCGCTATAACGTTAGTGAAGAATTTTTTTCCACAAAAATAAACTCTCATTATTGTCTTTCTAAGCCTCAGCGAGCCTCACATTGTCTCAAATCTCCAGTTTTCTGCCATCTGTAGTTTAAATAAACAGGCCAAAAATAAAATGTTTATACTTGTTCTTGAAACATGTAAGTTGGGAAGTCAGCATACTACTTGTCTTGAAGATGATTTGAGTAGTGTTGACGTGTAATTGTGTTAGGTTTTATGTTCTCACCCTGAGACAAATGCCACAACATCATGAGCACCAGACCGCCATGATCGGGATACATAATAATTAAGTGGGTTTATACTGCTGCAAACCTTCAAACGTCTGCCTGGAGATAACTTTAAGTATGCTTCACTCTGAAACAGATTGCAATGCATTTGGAATTAGCATTTTAAGTCACCGATCGATATTATAGCAATATATTAAGTACCTTTAGTTTATCGATGCCAACAATGACAAAACGAGGCCTTGGGTTTTTCAACGTACTGTACAGCAGGTTTACCTGTAAAATAGAGAATTCTGTTGATCACAATAAACTATGACAAGCTGAAAACTTCACTTTGCCGAATCGGTTCAAGTCTCAAGGCTATTTTGAGGCTATCAATCCAGGAAGACATATCGGTCTGTGAAATTATTGCGGAACCCCATTCCGCTTTTGACAAAACGCGAGCAAACAACTCTTCATACGTTCCCTTTCCTTGAATTCGCATGCTGAAGTAGTAAAAAAAAACATCAGATTAAAATGAAAAACAAATTTGTATGCTCATAATTACGAGTTCACAGAAAATATTTACACGTGTTCCGGAAATTATAATTGAAACACTTTGCAAATGTTATGAAATCCCTCCAATGAACGACGACGAAATTATTCCTTATATCAACATCCATAGTAGACAAAAAATGTTGATTACGTATTTGTTACTCCGTGTCAGGTTATCCCTTGAATATAAATAGTAACGTTTGGTGTAATTGGATGTGTTCAATTTTCTCCATAAGCTAAATGTTATGTACTCAGTCTAAGAGCACTGTTAAAAGATGAAAACTGCCACATTGGTATACCTAACAAAAATATGGTGCACACCCGGCTTTTTACGTATCTGTGAGAGTTCTGTAACCTAAGAGAACTATTAAATTATGATGTTTTTATCAGAACTCGTCTTTGCGGCAGCAAGTCTACTTCCCGTAGCCAAAGCGTGAAACTACCGACTAGGCCTTCTCGTAGAAGAAAAGCAAATATACAGTACACGTGACATGCAAGAGTAAACTTTGTTCTTGGGTTCATATCACTCATGCAAAGAATTCGCGTTGTTACATTATTTGAGATCTTTCGCGATGGGGAGCAGGCCCTTTGGCCTAAAGATGCGAATCAATGTTGAGCCGTCGCTTGTAAAATTGTTTAAACACTTTCTGCTTCTCGTGACGCCATGAAATGCCACGGTTGGAGTATTTTTTTGTGAAGTGTACCAGAAATGTTTTTGATTAAGGTTTACTTTGATGTATGCTTTAAATTTACTTGAATTTTATGAATACTGTTATTAACTTAATTATAAATAGCTCTATAAATAATTTAATAAAGTGTGTGTTGGACAGAAATCTGTCTGACAAACCATGGGGCGTTTTCCAAATGAGATCGAGCAACCATGTCTGGTAACCACTGTTATTTTTGATGAAAAAAGAAAAACGTTGTTGGCTCCATGCCCCCAAAAATAAAACCAATCCTTGCCTGAAAAAATATAAAAAAACTAAATTATAAGCGTCTTCTCAGTCACGTGCGTGTTTTGCGTATCGCGCGATTTCGGAATTTCGGGAGGCTTCCCCAAAAAACTGTTTCGGCTAAGGGTCTAAAAACTTTTCTTGACAAATTAGGCATAGGAGGGATTGACTAAATGTGTTAATCAACGACTCTTAGGGTCGTTAGTTTGAGAATCAAAATCGCAAATACTGAACTATTTGCAATAACGCTCTGGACTGAAGCTTATTTGTTTCCGTATATATAAAAGTTAAGGCCTTCAAACTTTGCCAATGTGTTGCCTTGTGTATAGCTCATCTCTGCATGGAATATTGTTGTCCTGGTTAGCGGGAGAAATTAACAAGAATTGGCTACACAGAAGCCTTTAACTAAATGCGCAGTATTGTGATTTTTTTTAAAATAAAGTCCATTTTTAAACTTTCCGAATTAACGTTTCTAATGTGTACTAACATAATCTGCAAAAAAACATACTACAATATATCTGTGGATTTCAAGTTGTGAAGCGAAAAATATGGCCAAATTGACGCAACATGGTTGCCATAATGGGGCGTGCACATACCATTTCTTGACAATCTTGTGATACAAAAATCAAAATGCTACGGGGTGGACAGAAAAAGACAAACTGACAGCAGACAGGTGGAAGGTAGAATTGAAGGGAAAATTCGCAATACATTTTCTTACAACCAACCCAAAAATGCCCATGGGCCGGAGCGATTGAGAGGCGCCACCCTGTAACATGCTTCGCGGTGCCTGTTTCACCAGCCGGCGTGTACCGTCTCCGTCTGCGCAGCGTAAAGGAAGCAACCGCAGCGACTTTGGAAACAGATCAGCCTACAGCATTCGTGGTAACATGGTATAGGAGGTAGAGCGCGGCAAAACTAGACCTGTGCGCCGCTATGCCTCGCCGTGTTGCCGCCGCCGCCTGTTTTGCTCTCGCCGCTCTGCGCCACCGCCGAAATTCGCACAGCCAGCACGCCGCCGCCGCCGCCGCTGCCACGCAATAAATGCGGCACACAGCCAGCACGCCGCCGCCGCCGCCGCCGGCACGCAATAAATGCGGCGCGCCGCCAGCGCCGGATATTTTCTTTATTTTATTTTCTTTATTTATTTTTTTGAGGGAGGGGGGGGAGACGGGGAGAGATGTATGCGTAGTATTGGCACTATTTTTTCTTCTGATTCTTATGTGTCTCACCTACAATACAATGCGTATAAAAATATATTGGCGTGTCTGTACGTTTTTTCCCTTTCAATTTTACTCATGTAAATATCTCAATAAATGGAGTAGGTCTATAGGAACCGGACACACGAAACCATAAAAGCAGACAAAACAACAAGTCTATAACACAGCTTCTAGTATATTTGAACACGAAAGTTCTTATGCACACGTCCAGGCCCTAAATGATTCATGGCGATCCTTTCATACCAACCAGCCACACTGACCAGCCACATGCGATAACGGGCAACTCCAGCTCGTTATCGCATGAGGGCGGACCAACCACATGCGATAACAAGCATCTCCAGCTCAACCCTTACTATGCTTAGAAAATCCACAAAACAAGACCTTAGACGCACTGAAAACGCTTCATATGACTGTCCAATGCTAAAGACGGTGTGCGGTGTGCTTACACAGTTGCGAGAGGTAAAAATACTTATTGTCTCCCTCAGACCTCTCCTACCACTTTTTTTCTCTTTGTGCAAAATCTGGTACCCCCCCCCCCCCCCCCCACCCATTGAGGATGACAGTCAGTATGACACCGCAACGGAATGTCGTGCACCACTCCTGCCTGACAAGTGAGGTCTGGGTTTGTATACTTTTTTCTGGCACCCCTAAGGGCCACCCAAAATAGAGGGCTAATCTTTCAAACTTGTACTGCGCTTTGGAGACTAAATTTACACCAAACCTATTTGCAACTGATATAAAGCTATGAGAGATTCTCTATAGTAGTCAACCACACACACAACATTCTTCACAACCAGTTTTTCCAGAGAAGCCGGGTTAAATCTTCCTTACAGCTTGACCTCAACCATAGCCTCCTCTATATGGAGAAAGCCTGGCGCGACGCGAGAAGAGGCGGTCGCCATAAGTGGGAAAGGAAAGTAGGGCAATCGGTAGTGGAGGGAAAATTGCCTGCTAGCGCCACACAAGAGCGAGCGGCCAAACACAAAAACACTATTTTTTTCCCTCTCTCTTTTCTTTTCGGTATCGTGGAGGAGAGACTCAACGTCAAGCCTTTCCCGTTCCTCCCTGGGTCCGCATCTCCGCAACGGTCCTTGAACGATCGCGGCCGTCGGTTTCGTTTCGCCAAAACTGCATGGTTCTTCCGCGTCACGATACGATGGTCCGACGACGACGCACTCCGCTGGCACGCCGACAACTCCGTTGCCGCCACCGGCATGGTGCGTTGTTGTCAGTGCCGTTCTGAGTCACCGCAGCCGTTGCTCCCAATGTACAAAAACGACGGTGACGAAAACACGAAAACAAACGTGGTTCGGGGAGCGGCCGCTCCTGACCCAAGCGCTCGCATACTATCTCTGCCTTTTCTGCTCTGCGCTACCATATTTGTCACACATCCGCGAGCTCCTCCTCTCGTTTTTGCTGCAACCGCGTGCCGGATGGCTCCGTCGTCGATGTGCCAGGCTTTCTCCGCATAGAGGAGGCTAGTGTACAATTCTAGCAATTACATCCTGGTGTAATTGTTAGAGTGGTTATGAACGAAAATTGAGCTTGGCAGTAGGTGTCGTCGATTTTTATCCAGAAATGCCTGTCAGGAGTGGAATTCAGCAGTCTATTGTGACAAAAAACACTGAGCAATTGATTCATATATTGAATCCGCATCATGGGAGAAGGTGTGATGTGACAGTTTTAGACATCAAGGACGTATACTACTCTATGGATAGTCGGGACTATTAAGAAGTGTCAGGAGGTGGCGTCAGCGGCTTAGACTTTCCATTTTCCCAGGGGGGGGGGGGGGGAGGGGGGCAGGCTGAGAAGTTCTCCGGGGGGGGGGGGGGGGAGCTGCGCGTCAGCTTTTTGCCAGAACTGGAGATTGAAGCAAACGAAAGCACGCTGGGATTCCATTTCCCATGGATATTTTCAATAAAGGCAACGTCAATCAAATTTGGGGGTTTTACGTGCCAAACCAACGACGGGCATCTGGCACGCCCCACCGGAGGACTGAGGATTAATTTCGACCACCTGGGGATCTTTTGACGTGCAATAAAGGCAACGTGGGCGCTATCTTGTTTACATGCCACTACTATAGATGCTCGTTACATGGCACGTAAACAGCGCCTCGGTAAGGTTTATGGCCCGGGCCCGGAGGGGCTCTGCCCCCCTCCCCCTCCCCCCCCCCTCCAAATCTCATCAGGGGGAGCACAGGCTTTCTCGGCGGGGTCGTGGCGCTGGAGACGCCGAACGTCGTGGCGATGGGGAGCAGGATTCACGGCGGAGAGGCTTTGCTGAGGTGGACGAGCGTCGGAGGTACTCCTCAATGCCGGGAGGGCGTTCGCCGTACCTGGGGCGTGAGTCGTTCGGGTTTTACCCACGTAGCCAAAGTTGCCGGCAGGGGCAACGGCGGTAGATATGGTCGGCTTCCCCGAAGTGGTAGCACAACGGGCGTCGATCGGCCGTCCTCCACACGTTTGTTTTTCTCGGCGCAGCATGTTCTGGGCGGACGTGCGCCCGAACTTCTTGGTGTCGGGGATACTGCGGCGCTGGCTGTTCACGTCGGGGATGCGCCATGTACGGACGTGGGGTTGGTGGTGCTCGTCGAACCATTGCGGCGTAGGTTAGCGTCGGTTCCTCGGTGGCTGCCACGCTCATGGGAGCCTTTGGTTGGATGGCTCTCAGGACTTCTTCCCGCACGATCCGGCGATTAAAAACGAGGCCGGGCATGCAGTTGTGGGCAGCAGCTTCTTCAGCTCCTCCTGGATGAGATCACGGATGATGTCTCTGATGCAGGGGAGGTTGGAACCAAAGTCGGATACGGATGTCGCCAGGCTAGTTACGCCAGGGTGTCGCTGGTAGCGTCTGGCGCGCGCTGGTAGAGCCCGTTCAATATTTGTTGCCTCCGTGATAAACTCTCCGACTGTTGTAGGCGGATTGCGAATTAGACCGACGAAAATTTCGCTTTTCACACCAGTCATCAAGTGGCGCAGCTCCTTCTCCTCCGTAGCCTGAAGGTCGGCGCGTGAGCTCGGGCGCAGAACATCCTCGACCAACGGGTGCTGCTCTCATTTGGGCCTTGGTTTCTGGTTCGAAGGATGTCTTCGGCCGCGCCGGTGTTGGCTGGTGAACGTCTTCTTTAGTTGTTGCTTAGACACCTCCCACGAAGTTAAAGAAGCCTAGTGTTTTTTCCAGCCAGTACCTCGCAGTCCCTTCCAGCGCGAAGTAGATGTTCTGCAAGCAGTGCTCAGCTGACCACCCGTTTTCGCGGGCACACGTTCATAGTGTTGCAGCCAGTCCTCGATGTCGTTGCGGGCGTCTACGTGGAAAGGCGTCAAAATTCGGGGTGTGAAGGGCAGGTATACGACGGCAGAAGCGCCCGGGGTCTGGGCCTGGCCGGCCATCGCCGTCTTCTTTGTTCGCTTGGCCTTGGGTGGCAAGAGTCCTAATACTGGGGGTGGGCCAAGGTGGCGGCGACTTGATCAGATCTCGGTCAGGCCTTCGTTAAGTCTTTGGGAACTTGGGTTCGGACTTGCACTGCGCGACCTCGGAGGGCAGCGCTGCACGGACATGCGGTAACCCGCACCTCCACCAAAATGTCACGAATGGAGAGTTAATGAAACAAAGAATAACTGAGGCAGCTAACTTTTGAATGGGGCGAACTTGTGCCCGAAATGAAAAAGAAACAGACGATAGCAGAAGAGCGTCGCGGGCGTCGAAGTCGGCGTAATAGCAGAATCGAACGCTGGGGCGAAACGGACTGCGGCTTGCAGCGCGGAGCCCCTTATGTAGATGCGTGGGCTTCTGGAATAATCGGCGTAGAAGGTTCGACGCATAGAACCCATTCGGACTTCGAACAAGCAACACGATTCTCGAATTTCCCAGAACACTCAATAGCAGGATTAACAAAAGATGCGCCTCTTTCGGAAATCGAACCCTGGCTTTCCGCGTGGGAGACAGGCACCATAACCGTTAGGCCACGCGCGCGCTGCCTACTTGGCCAGCTGCGCGCGCGGCAATACTACGTTGTAACGAAGAAAATAGGAATCTTCTTTGCTGATGAAAGATACTGATGCTAACAAGTAATGGCTTATTTAAATAATATGTGATATCCTTTTTTGTAACAAATATCGCCAATTCGTCAATTAATTTTGGGGACAAAATATTTAGACATACTCCTAACCTCTGGAGAGTTCCCCTGCCATCCTCCTCGAGACACCTTTAGCGGGTGCCCCTACCACAGACGAACTCGACAAACAAGGATACACACAAGGGCGGTCGAGCCGAACTCCTCCACAGCCGTAAAGGGTCCCAAGTTTGCGAGCTATCGTGCGGAAGACTCCACAGAGGAAGGGGGATCGGACGTGCAGGTTGGCTACCAGAGGTAGGCTGATGTTCACGGCATGGTGCCCTGGCGCCAAGTCCCTTTTGGCCCTTCGGTGGCCGATTATATTGAGTTTAGCGGCATTCCAGGGTCCTCCAGTCCACCAAATCAGAAAGTTTGGAAGGACCCATCAAGATGGCTTTTTCTTGGCATCAATCAATAGCCTCAAAGCCCAAAGCCAACATAAGCATGACAAAACCAAGCGCATACCCAAGACAAAACACATTTCAGACGAAGTTCAAAAATATGTTAAAACAAGACAAAGCAATACGACGGCAGAGAAGTCTTTCACCGAGGAAAACCACCTCCAAAGTAGAGATTCCAAAAACAGACGTGCATAAATCAGAACATCTCCGACGCGGGGGTCTAGGAACTAAGTGTACCGTTACAGCTTTCAGATTTGCCCCCCTTTGGGGATCCCCGACCCCGGTCGGACACAAGGGCCGTTCCGTGGAGACGAACGAACTCTCGAGAAGGTAAAAGCATAAAATAAAACACTCGTGCGAGCAAAATTTCGCGACAATATACGCGACTGAACCAGTCGCGTATATTGTCGCGTATACTGTAAGAGGTTTCATGCTGTGGTAACCTCACAATTATTGAGAGGCAAGGTTAGCCGATGAGTCTTCAGCAAAACTAATGTTTGGCAGCTGGCTCACTTTTCGGCTGTGTCTTTGCTTCAAGTCGTATGTTTCCCGGGAAAAAAGTTTACTTCGTACTCCTTTCCTTTATCGTATGATTCATAAGGTTACAGTGGGCTATAGTGTAGTCATTATAACCCGCATCACAGCAAAACACACTATATTGAGCAGTCTGTGATGCCTAAAATATTTTTTGGGGGTGATGCAGATACATTACGTTTGTTCTAAACTGGGGAATTGTGGGTGTTTCGGCTTAAATTACAATTAGTGTTAAAATCGAAAGAAAAAAATGTTCGAAAGCAGATATTTATTAAAGAAACTTTTAGCAATAACTGCTTTTCGTAGAACGATTTTAATATTGCGTTTTCCAAGTTCTTGGGACATTCAGAGGAAAATTGGTATAAAAATTTCAAGTCTAATTAAATTTAGTTCTATAAGTCACATTTGATTACAGTCCCGGGTCATGGAGGACATTACGATATTTTGTCAAGAAAAGCAAAATTACCAATTTGGTAAATGTAACCCATTAAATTCAATGGAGAAAAAATGTGAATCCTTAGGAATAACACTTTATACGCTTCGTAAAATATAATTACAGCTTACTTATATTTTATGGCTCTCATATAAATGACTCCCAGAGGACGTTGCGATGTTCGTGGATGTTCAGTTGAGATTCTAATATAGTGAATGAGCCGTGGCGTTGATGTCCACAAATCTTCGAGACTACCCAATACATTTACACACTTATACAACTAAACTTAAAAACGTGATCCAGTCATTTCAGTCATGTCATCAATATCAAGACAACTTGGCATTGGTAAGTGTCCCGATGATGCAAGTAAAGACGAGACTCAAAAAATTACTCCTGTAACTTTGTTTCAATAACATCATTAACGTCCCAAGGTCCATGATATAGATGCTTACCGTACTCATTAGAATCGCCAAGTATCTAGTGAGATATTTTCCTTTCAGTTTGTGAAGAGCATCATCGTAGACTATTCTCGTTTCAATCGTAACTGTAGGTGGCAAGTTGCGCCGGCGTCGTCTTGCTACTAAAATAAAATTTGAAAGTGGAAAATTATAATAAAAAAACTTAATTTTAATACATTTATTATATTTTTATAAACATTGCACTTTCAAACTAAACTTAAAGGGTCTCTAAAAATATTTTTTAAACACTATAATTGGGACACGCGTGTCAAGAAAATAATTTCTACGCGAACGAAAACAAACAAAATTCAGCAATATTGACCACGCGAGGTGTGATTTTGTAGGTAGTCACCTCCGCTCCTTTAATTTTCTTTCTCGGTATTATGGCCGCGTAAAGGAGAGGTGGATCGCCTTCGCCTTCACGTAGAGAGGGACAGAGCGAATTACCATTTTGTTGAACGAATTACTACTTCGTTACGTCATGGACTTCGCGCCCAGAATTTAAAATAAATCTGCCACTGTTGATATTGCCCTAAATATTTTTTCTCGTAAAATTTATTTCTCGACACGCGTGTCCCCACCATACTGTTAAAAACATTTTTAGGTGATTTTAAGCATGATTGAGAAGTGCACAATGCATTATAATAAAGATCAACATTCCGCCCAAATACATGTAAAAAAACGGCTAATCTGGCTAAAGTGTGGAAGACGTAGGGGCCTAACGTATGCCTTCTAAGGTCATGCTCCATGGCGCTTGCCTACGGCGAGGTACTTTAAATAGCTATAGCCCTAGTACGGCAATGGCTGGGCATGTCAAAGATCGTTGTTTCTCTGGACCCCCACAAGAGTGCCAGTGAAGGTGCTGTAACTGACACAAACTGCAAAGGTAAGTCCTAATTTCGGAATTCAAGAGAATGCCAAATATTGACGTTTCTCCTGTCAGCCACTGGAGTGCCCAATTAGTGCGAACAAATAAAAGGAAACCCCAGAGACACGCTGAAGGTTGGCTTTTGTTTGGTTAGCCACAAAAGTGTTACTTACAGTACACTTAAAGAACAATAAAAAAAAAAAAAAAACATTCGACGCACGATTTACAAATGCCGTCATTCTCCCCAATATCGCCTAATGCAAAAAAAAGCAGTCGTTAAAATTTGATTTGGGGTCCGTTGAGTGTGAAGCAGGCGTAAACCTCATAGCCACGACCGCTTGTTTTTTTTTTTATCAGAAGGTCTTAACAGTGATCAGTCACAACGCAAGATATGCAGAAAGATATGCTGGCTTTTCCAACACGTCTCATGATAATGGTAGCTGTCGAGAAAACCCCTTTACGTCAGTTTCGAGCAGCGCTCACTGCATGGAAGCAGTTGCCGTAACGTCGAACCAGTCTCATGGGGCGGGGCGTCTTTTGGGTAATATGTGAATCTCCTGTGGAACGGCACGTGTACCTACGCGCGGGAAAAAATATCCTGTGCATTCTGCAGCTACCAAATTAGAGATGTCTTGAGCAGCTTCGGCAAAATATTTCGCCCACCTTAGGTTAGAAGAATCAAGAGATGCCCAAACTAATATAAAAATGTCGAGGTCGACCTTAAATTACGTAAAAATATTTTTTTTTTTCTTTTTTAAATACGGGACAGGCTACCCTCACCCTATCAATGGACCATCCGTCGTTTATCCCAACATATAAATGAACCGGTGCCAGCAGGATCCGCCCTGATTGCCTAACTCTGGCACTGCAGAAATACTGGTTCGGAAGTAAATGGATTTGGCATCCCTCTTTCTTGCTTCATACCGAGCAGAGAGGCAAGATGGTGCCTTTGTATCAACTTCGTAATCATAGATAACCCACAATATGTACACGCGCGAGGTTCATAGGAGCCGTATCTTGGTCACAGCGGCTCAATGGGCCAACAAAATGTAACCCATGTTTTTGATGTTGAAAAAGGAGGGAGAGGCCATGCGCGAGTGTTGTTTTTAGCCAATTTGTCTCGATCCCAGTGATCTTGACCCAGTCGTCTGTCAAAGTGACAGCACATGCTTGCACAAGGTGGAGAAGTATCAGATGTTGAACGGACGACCAGAAAATATAAACTAACATTAACACGTGCTTGGTGATTTAGAACGAAATCGGCAAATTGGCACCTAACTTGCAAAAAAATATGCCAACTCTATCACGTTTTCGACAGATTTAGGTTGGAATATGCCAGATCGCAACCAAACTAACTGCTAGAGAAGCTTAATTTTAAACGAGACAGCCTAACTCTGGCACTTCCTTGACTATTTTGGTCCAGAACGGCCAGATGACCGCAAACCATCAGTAAAAAGACCTCACTTTGAAAGTTGTTTGGATATTTAGGCACAAAGTTGCCAGATGTAAAATGAACTAGATGATAGTAAGCCTAACCCTGGCACTTGTTTGGCGATTTTGGGCAAAAGATACCGGATGACACACAAAATACCACGGAGTGAATTCTAACTAGGCATTTGTTTTGTATCTATGTATGTGTATATGTACGTATGTTTGTGTATTTGTATGTATGTGTATGCATGTTTGTGTGCGTGTGTATATGTATATATATACATGTATATGATGTGTGTATGTGTATATATATATATACTGTGTTGAAGCATCTTAGAATATTTTGGATAGTTTTCCCTTTCTTGTGTACAACTTCCCCATTTCTTTTATAGGCAAGTGTTATTCTTGCTTGATGCATTGCTGATAGTTGTCTGTTGGTCATTGTTATGATAAAAGTACCTTGTATTTTTATATAATTTCTTGTGCTCTTTTTAGATGTCTTTGTCGCCACTGTGTGTACCTGAGGGGGGCTGAGGACCAGTCAAGCTGCTTGGACAGCTTTTTTCCACAGCCCCCACCATGCTTATCCATGGTAAATAAAGCTATTATTATTATTATTATTATTATTATTATTAATTAGGGCCAACATGCCCAGACTGGTTCCAAATGTGACGTTTAGCCCGTATCGGGCTTGTTCGCTGTCTCAAAGCATTAAACAACCGATCAAAAGCAAAAAAATGGCGTTTAAAAATTCGTAATAAAAATAATTAAAAACAAAATTAAATACTTCACGCATTCGTGGCTAGAACCCACCGGTTCGAAAGAAACCAAGAAAAATGCTCCTTAATTGCGCTTTTTCAAGATTTTAGTGAAGAAGTGAGTACTATATATATCGTCAAAAAGCATAAATGATCGCTTATAAATATTCAAAACGATGGCTCCCATATTGCGCCGCACAAACGCTATATGAATTTTAAATACTGCAACTGAAGATAAAGCAAAGGGTCTAAAAGTGTTCCTCGAGATGTATAAGCTTCGTTCTGTTCATAACTTGTTCTGCATAGAATGAACAAAATAACTTGAAGTTCTGTTATTGATCATTAGTATCGAAAATGCGCCGAATGAAGAAGATCATCATAATCTATAGTGTAGCGTTGAAAGCAGGTATTTTAATCAATATTCGTAAAATATTTGGTTCCCAAGGTATCTAATGTTGTTGAGTTTTCTGAATAGAATTAACGCGTTTAGTCGCGACAACGATGAATTAAAAAACTTTTCAATTTTACTCACCTCTGTGGATATTGCCCCCAAATCGTCGTTCCGCTAAGTTTGTATAATTAACTGTAAAATAAAAAAAAATTGCCAATATCTGACGAATCATTTTGTAGCCATTTATTTGTTGAGGAGGTAGTAAAAACAAAATAGCGAGCTTCCGCTTGGTAGCAACAGTTCACAAGAAAAATCTTTTACCTATTGTATTCATTTACTTGATTTATAATACTTATCATCCCATTTACGTGTTTCATATATAATAACATATATAGCACCAAATATTGAAGGAAATAAAATATAAAAATAATCTACCTGAGTTGTAATTCTTAAAAAACAAATCGACAACACATGAAAACAACTGCGCAGTATCGAAAATTACACACAAAAAAAAGTTGTATACTTAACTAAAAAACAGTCTGATCAAAGAACTGATCAGGGTCTTATTCACCTGGTGGAAAATAATGTACCTATGTCTGTAGATATCATTTATGATTATATTGTGAAGAGGTTCTTACCAGCATCATCATACATTGGGATTGAAGTATCATTAAACTTGGATATCAAATGAGCAACGATTCCCTCTTTTGATCGGGGATTAGATAATACAGGCTCAATAGATAAGGCGTAAGTGAGGATACCGCTCTGCAAAGGTTAGTTCGTAATAAGATATTAAAATGCTTATTCCTTAGAGCGCAATAATATTTTATTCACGAATTTCATCAGTAATGACACGATTATTGCATACCACTTGGAGATATCCATTGGATTCTTGGAGCACAACAGAGGAGCCGTGTTCCCTGTCCTGATATAAATTGTCCTCAATTTCCTTGACATTCAGCTGGAAACAACACGATAGTAGTAATTTCAGTGCTATGGACGTCATTAAAAACATATTTCATGAGCTCATAACAGCATCATGACCATATAAATTACAAACACCATGGCAATGCCGAATTCAGATCAATGTTAACGAGTTTGTTATAAGCATACAAAATGTTACATGTTGATATTGTTTTTTTACGAAAGTACTTGCCTAATTTAATGCGTACGCCTTTTTTTATTTTTTTTTTATTGCAGGGGTTTTGTCCATGCGCATTGATTTACTCTGTGTGCTTATTTCATCTTCTCTTTCTCTATGTAGGGGTTTTGTCTATGCGTTTGGCGTTATTTACTGTGTGCGCTTATTACATTCCTCCCCCTTTTTTTTGTTTTGTTTGACTTTGCGTCCTTCCGCGGCGTGCGTTGCTGGCCATCTGGGCCGATCCAACTATGTGAACGTTACTGCTCCTTCCGCACGTGACGTTCCTGGGGTCACGAAGTCTGACGTGGCCTTTGGTTTGCTCCGATGGCTGGCGGCGTCTGCTGCGGCCGTGCGTGGAGTGGGGGGGAGTACAGCAGCGTTTTTTCACTTGGGCTCTTTTACTTGGGCATTTTTACACGTGATCTGACAGGTGACGTGGCCCGGGTGGGGAAACCGAAAACAACCCTGTAACCGACTCTGGCAACCAGTCTTGAAGAAGGCCTGTCTCAGGCCGAAACGTCGACTCACTAAATGCTTTAAAACTCCAACAACGTTTCGAAGTGCGACTTTCTTACTTTATAGTCTTCGGCATCCTACGCTATATTTTCTTTATCTATATATATATATATATATATATATATATATATATATATATATATATATATATATATATATATATATATATATTGCCGCGCGCAAGGCTGAGGAAGAAACGCTCGGTCACGGTCCTCCAGAAAGTTCCCGTTTATTCATGTACCGCACGTAACTTCTGTCATTTATCCCTGCCTTTGTTTTCTAGAAAGTGCGTGTTCATTCTCGCCCCGATCACGCGACGCTCGAACCGCTTTCGCCGAATCTTCGAGATAGCGGCGCACTCTAGATAAGAGGCCGCCCGCGACCTTGTCGAGTAAGTCTCGCCCTAGCGCTCGATTCTGCTGACACGCCGACTTCGACGCCCGCGACGCTCTGCTTTCTTCTGTTTCCTTCTTTACTTTTGGCACAAGTTCGCCACATTAAACGTTTATTTATTTCTGTTTATTTCTTGTTTATTGGTCACGACTCACCACCCATGACATTCTGGTGGAGGTGCTGGGCACCGCATGTTCGTGCAGCGCAGCCCTCCGAGTTCCCGCAGTACAAGTCCGAATCCAAGCTCCCGAGGACCCAACGAAGACCAGATCAAGACTCGATCAAGTCGCCGCACCCAAGGGCTAAACGCGGAGTACGGACTTCTACCACCCAGGACCAGGCAGCCGACGATGGCCAACCACTCACAGACCCCCGCCGCTCCTGCCGTCGTCTACCTACCCGTCGCTCCTCGGACACCGGCTCCATTCCAAGGCGAGCAGTACGAAGACGTTGAAGATTGGATCGACCAATTCGAACGCGTCGCCCGCCACAATAGCTGGACCAACGAGCAACGGCTGCAAAACGTGTATTTCTCGCTCGAGGGGACTGCCAGAAGCTGGTACGAAAATCACGAGTCTTCATTGACATCCTGGGACATTTTCAAGAGCCAGCTGAAGGCGACATTTGTCAACTAGCACCGCCGAGAGAGAGCCGAAGACTTACTTCGTACCAGGACTCAAGGCCCCAACGATAGCATTACCGGCTTCGTGGAGGATGTTCTCCGCCTAAGCGCCCGCGCCGATCCTCAGACTACCGAGGAGAAGAGGCTGCACCACCTGATGAGGGGAGTGAAAAGCGAGATTTTCGGCGGTCTCATCCGGAATCCCCCAACAACAGTCGACGAGTTCATCACGGAGGCGACAAATATGGAACGGGCCTTGCTAGCCCGCGCCAGACACTACCAACGACACCCTGGCGTAACTACTCTAGCGACATCTGGATCCGACCTGGGCACCACCCTCCCCGGCATCCGTGACCTTATCCGTGAAGCCATCCAGGAGGAGTTGAAGAAGTTGCTACCTGCTGCCACAAGCCTGACTACGCCCTCAGTCGCCGAGATTGTCCGGGAAGAACCTCAGCAGGCGCTGCAGCCAGAAGTTCTCGCCAGCGCCGCTCCTGAACCACCGAAGCTGAGCTACGCCGCAGCTACCCGACGACCACCGCCCCCTGCTCACCCGTATACGGCGCCACCTCGACGTGAACCTCTAGCGCCGCAGTATTCACGACGCCATGAAGATCGGTCGTACGTCCACCCAGAACAAGCTGCTCCACGAAAGACCGACGTGTGGAGGACGGCCGATCGACGCCCGTTGTGCTACCACTGCGGGGAGGCCGACCATATCTACCGTCGTTGTCCCTACCGGCAAATGGGCCTGCGTGGGTTCCACCCGAACGACCCACGCCCGAGGTACGGCGAACGCCCTCACGACATCGAGGAGTACCTCCGACGTTCGCCCTCCCCAGTGTCGTCTCTCCGCCGTGAAGCCCGCTCCCCATCACCACGACGTTCAGCCTCCCCAGCGCCACGATCCGGCCGAGAGAGCCTGTCTCCCCTGCGTCGTCGGGAAAACTGAGTGCGGCAACGCCTGGAGGTGACGTTGCCGAAAACGACGGAAGCAAACAGCCTCCAAGAACGCCGGAGCGCTCCCACTCTCTCGACGCCCCGCATTGCACCGACGCGCCTGCAACGGTGTCCAACAACGTAAACGTTGTTATCGATGGCCAAAACGCATCGGCACTCGTTGACACCGGGGCAGACTACTCAGTATTGAGTGGGAGGCTCTCTCGTCACCTTCGAAAAGTCACGACGCCGTGGGATGGACCGCAGATACGAACCGCCGGAGGACACCTCATCACGCCTGTCGGAAGGTGCACTGCTCGCGCCGAAATTAACGGCGAGACGTGTCCTGTGAAATTCGTCATTCTACAAGACTGTTCCAGAGACATCATTCTCGGCATGGACTTTTTGTGTGAATACGGCGCCGTCATCGACCTTGGAGAAAACAGATTGACGCTGCGGACACCTGTTCCGCCTTCAGAGAAACTCCAAACTGCGTCAGCCGCCGTCCGAGTCGCTGCCGACCACGTGAATCTGCCGCCGCGATCAAGTGTTGTCGTACCTGTCGTGACCGATGCAGCTACCCGTAGCGAAGTTCTTCTGGAAGGTAACCTCCAGTTGCTCCTGGGAAGAGGAATAGGCGTCGCACGAGGAGTAGCTGAGCTTCAGGATGGCCGCAGTGTGGCCCTCGTGACGAACTTCCGGAATGAAACGCAACACCTCACAAAAGGTGCAGCCGTTGGCCACATCGAGGATCTCCGAAACTCCGCCGAAATCGCCGCCATTACTGATGAATCCTCGCCACCTCAGCAAGACAGTACGTCGCCAGCGCAACTCGACATCGACCCTAAGCTTCCGGACCCGAAACGAGGGGCAGCTGATTAACCTCCTCGCCGAATACCGTGACTGCTTTGCGACGTCGTCGAAGGTACGCCAGACAGCCGTTGCGAAGCATCGCATCATTACCGAGGACGACGCGCGCCCTGTGCATCGATCACCGTACAGAGTCTCCGTTAAAGAAAGGGAGGTGATCCAGGAGCAAGTTCAAGAGATGCTGAACGACGACATAATCCAACCATCAAGCAGTCCGTGGGCCTCTCCAGTCGTACTGGTTAAGAAGAAGGACGGAACGCTTCGGTTCTGCGTGGACTACCGGCAGCTGAACGCGGTGACGAAGAAAGACGTCTACCCACTCCCCCGAATCGACGACACGTTAGACCGGCTGCGCCACTCTCGATACTTCTCATCGATGGACCTGAAGAGCGGCTACTGGCAGATCGAAGTCGACGAACGGGACCGAGAGAAGACAGCTTTCGTCACGCCGGATGGGCTGTACGAGTTCAAGGTAATGCCCTTCGGACTATGTACGGCGCCAGCAACTTTCCAGCCTGTTATGGACACCGTACTGGCAGGACTGAAGTGGCAGAGCTGTCTGGTCTACCTCGATGACGTCCTGGTGTTTTCCAGCGACTTCGACGAGCACTTGCGACGACTCCGAGCTGTTCTTCAAGCCATACGGACCGCTGGACTCACCCTCAAGCCGTCAAAATGTCGGTTCGCCTATGACGAACTGAAGTTTCTAGGTCACGTGGTTAGCAACGAAGGCGTACGCCCAGACCCTGAGAAGACTCGCGCCGTCGCGTCATTTCCAGTGCCGACAGACAAAGAGGCCGTGCGAAGATTCCTTGGACTTTGCGCCTACTATCGTCGCTTCGTTCGGGATTTCGCACGGATTTCCGCACCGCTCACAAACCTCACGAAGGACGCCGAGAGGTTGGAATGGGCCGAGAAACAACAGCGGGCATTCGACGAGCTGAAGCGACGACTCCAGACGCCTCCGGTTCTTGGACATTTCGATCAGGATGCGGACACCGAGATTCACACTGACGCAAGTAACGCAGGACTTGGGGCGGTACTAGTTCAAGTACAAGAAGGCACCGAACGAGTCATCGCCTACGCAAGTCGTACACTGTCCAAGGCAGAAAGAAATTACTCCGCGACTGAGAAAGAATACCTTGCGGTCGTCTGGGCAATCACGAAGTTTCGTCCGTACTTGTACGGAAGCCCGTTCCGCGTAGTCACGGACCACCACTCGCTCTGCTGGCTTGCGAACCTCAAGGACCCGTCAGGGCGCCTCGCTCGGTGGAGCCTCCGGCTACAAGAGTTCAACATGACTGTGGTTTACAAGTCAGGACACAAGCACAGCGACGCTGACTGCCTGTCCAGGGCCCCTGTCGAAACACCTTCCGGCAGCAGCGACGACGATGATGACGAGTGCTTTCTAGGGGCAGTGAACACCGATGACATGGCACGACGTCAACGAGACTATCCGGAGCTGCGAGCCCTAATCGAGCACCTGGAAGGGCGCGGCGGTACCGTACCCCGTGTTTTCTCACGAGCCGTGCCGACCTTCACCATTCGACAAGGAGAACTTCGGGAACAACAACAACTTCTACAAAGAGAACTTCGGGAACAACAACTCGCCGTGGCTGCTGGTAATCCCGACCGACCTTCGAGGGGAGATCTTTCAAGCATGTCACGACGACCCGACGTCCGGAGACCTTGGATACAGCCGGACACTGGCCCGTATTCGTGAAAAGTATTACTGGCCCAAGCTCCCCAAGACCGTCCACCTGTACACACGATCATGCCACGAGTGCCAGCGACGCAAGAAACCTCCGACGAGGCCGGCCGGACTCCTGCAGCCTATTTCTCCTCCAACTGCACCCTTCCAGCAGATCGGAATGGATCTACTTGGTCCTTTTCCGCCTTCGACGTCGGGGAACCGCTGGATCATCGTCGCCACAGATTATCTCACGCGGTACGCCGAAACGAAAGCTCTTCTTTCGGGGACTGCTGTGGAAGTTGCTAAGTTTTTCATTGAGTCCATCGTCCTCCGGCACGGCGCTCCAGAAGTTCTGATTACAGATCGCGGATCATCGTTCATGGCACAACTGACCCAAGAAATCTTCCGACTCAGTCACACCAGCCATCGTCGTACAACTGCGTACCACCCGCAGACCAACGGGCTGACGGAGCGACTCAACAAGACAATCGCCGATATGATCTCTATGTACAGTCGGGGACAAAAGTCTCCAGGACACGCGAGCTGCGACTGAAACGCATTGCTCTGCCATCTGCCGGTGGGTCGCCTGGTTTCGAGATCACAGAAAAGCGCATGCGCGTCCTACTGTGCCTGCCAACATGTGCGCTTTCCCGCTCTTCTGCGGCGCGGCGCCTAACTCGGAATCGGGCGCGTGGTACCGCCTCGGAAATAGCGCTTACTGACATGGCACCTATCAAGCAAGAAGTCACGGCATCTCAACTGAGCGATAAGCTCAACGGGTTATAAAGCAAGGTGCGCTGACACGGCGAAATGCGGCGAAATGCCCCAGGCGGTATCTCGAGTTTCGGAATGTGTAGCAGACGCTCGTCAGCCGCCAGCGCTATCTACGAGGCGGTACCACGCGCCCGATTCCGAGTTAGGCACTGTGCCGCAGAAGAGCGGGAAAACAGACATGTTTCCAGGCAGAGTAGGACGCGCATGCGCTTTTGTGTGATCTCGAAACCAGGCCACCCGCCGGCAGATGGCAGACCGATGCGTTTCAGCCGCAGCTCGCACGTCCTGGAGACTTTTGTCCCCGACTGTACGTCGACGTAGAGCACAAGACGTGGGACGAGGTGCTGCCCTACGTCACGTTCGCCTACAATACGGCGGTTCAAGAGACCACTGGATTCACCCCTTTCCAGCTGGTACATGGTCGGAAGGTAACGACCATGCTGGACGCCATGCTGCCCCATGAGCCATCTGACAACGAGAGCGACGACGCCCAGGCGGTTGCTCAACGCGCCGAAGAAGTTCGCCAGCTCGCCCGACTCCTGATTCAAGACCAGCAACGCGTCGACGCCGGCCGCTACAACCTTCGACGCAGGGACGTCCACTTCAAGCCCGGAGATAGGGTGTGGGTATGGACGCCCATCCGTCGCCGCGGCCTCAGTGAGAAACTGCTGAAACGGTACTTTGGAGCATACAAGGTACTTCGTCGCCTCGGCGAGCTGAACTACGAGGTGATGCCCGACGGAACACGAACATCGTCACGCCGCCCACCACGACCTGAGGTCGTCCACGTCGTGCGCCTGAAGCCGTACTACGCTCGATAGGACTGTGGACCTTTTGTGCTCCAAAAGACTCTTTAGTTTATCGTTCTTTTTTTATTTTTATTTGTTTTACACTGCATCGGGGCGATGCACTTTTAAAGGGGGGAGTAATGCCGCGCGCAAGGCTGAGGAAGCAACGCTCGGTCACGGGCCTCCAGAAAGTTCCCGTTTATTCATGTACCGCACGTAACTTCTATCATTTATCCCTGCTTTTGTTTTCTAGAAAGTGCGTGTTCATTCTCGCCCCGATCACGCGACGCTCGAACCGCTTTCGCCGAATCTTCGAGATAGCTGCGCACTCTAGATAAGAGGCCGCCCGCGACCTTGTCGAGTCAGTCTCGCCCTAGCGCTCGATTCTGCTGACACGCCGACTTCGACGCCCGCGACGCTCTGCTTTCTTCTGTTTCCTTCTTTATTTATGGCACAAGTTCGCCACATTAAACGTTTATTTATTTCTGTTCATTTCTTGTTTATTGGTCACGACTCACCACCCGTGACAATATATATATATATATATATATATATATATATATATATTTAGGAAAGTTAATCTTGAGCTAAAAATATAATATTAACATTCACAAAAAAGCTGGAAGAACTTTATTAAAGTGTAGAGCCAGCGTCCTTGAGTAGGCGTCACTACAGTTGTAATAGAATCTCAGACAGTGAACTAAACCAGTACTTATCAACCGTCAGCATTCGTGCAGCAACGTGGTGATTGCATTTCTCGGATACTGCGAAAGCCCTCTGCACATGCAGTTGTTATGATCACAGCTAAGATCTAAAGTTTATGCCAAAAAATGTGAATTTCTTACGGGCAGAAGGGGCTGTGTTATATGGGATTGCCAATAATCCCACAGAAGTCAGCCGAAAGTAAAAGACACTATTCCAATAATCACCTTCTCCCTGTAGATACTTTGCCTACTCGACGGTTGCACGCCTTCTTAGCATTTGCAGTAAATCTCCCCCTGCGAAATATTGAACACCGCATATGTGTTTAAAGCCGAGTGACCGAAAATTTATTGCCTATGATTGGAGAGTTGAAAAATCGTAGCTAACCGCACCCCCCTCCCCCTCCCCCCCTCCCCCCCCTCCCCCTCCCCCCCCCTCCCCCCCCTCCCCCCCCCCCCCCCCCGAGAGGTTAACCCGGGTGAAAATTATGTCTTGCGTGAAGGCCAAGGTTGTTTTATGTGTAAAACATAATTTGGAACGCACTGAAATATAGGTGGGCGGCACCAACCAGTTATTACGAAGAGACATAAATATGTATGGGAGTGCCATTCAAAACGTAGAATTGACAAATGCAGAGAAGCCCAGAGAAAGGCGGGGAGTTGTACCCTGGTAAGTGTGCCATTGAAATCTTAAACCACTGCATAGGATCGCATTTACCGGAGTCTATTTTAAGGGATAAACATACGTCAAATATATTTACTTACAGAACTGTTAGAGTAGTTCACATCATCGCCCTTTGTGAAAGTGAAGTTTTCGGAAAACACTGTGCTCTTTTCTAAGCTCAGGGTAAGCCCATCTCGAATGTGGAGCATCTTCTCTCCATTTGCACCCCTCGCTTCGAGAATTCTCGGGTAAACAATCTCCTCCACAGACGTTTCTGCTAGGAACGAATTCGTCATTGTTAGAGATGTTGAACGTTGAACCTCGTGGAACGAATGATTTCTCGAATTCTTAAACCTCTGGCAAACTACTAAAACGTTTGACTACTGAATATGCGTTGCGCTACTTCTACCAAAAAAAAAAAGCCTATACATTTCTCAAATATTATTATACCACTTTGATTTAGTGTTCACTTAATATATATCACTGTTAGTTTAATATAACAGTAAACTATCAAACGTGCAGAATGAGTGTATTAGTCGGTCAACAAAATTATCAAGAAAATCTGAAACCTTACCTGCAAGGTGGTAGCAGCACTGTTTTAGCGATGTCGTTAACGGTCAAACTTCACTTTAGAGGCGGGCGAAAAGCAGTGTGGAACAGTTTTGTTTCCCCTTTTTTAAATAAAGGGTTCCTCTTTTATTTATGCTTTACTCACATTGCTACGTAATCCTATCACAAATTCAGTATAAGAGATCAATAAAAAATCAAGCGTATGCGGGAACGAAGTGTCGGAGAAAATTACTTCCAGGATGAGCAAATGCGTGATATTTATATAAAAACATTAAAGTAAACAATTTAGTATTCCTTATTTGCTTTAACGCACATGCAAGATTACTTTCAATGTTTACCACTATCAAAAAATTATACTCATTGATTCCAGAAATCTTCTAAAGAGCAGATAGTAGTCTAAATTTAGAGTTCCTGCAAGGATGAATATTAGGTTGCACATGAGCTGTCATTACATCGTCGACATAGCCTACCAAATTCATGCTATATGTGTACGTACACACTCACGTCTAATTGGCACTTACCTCCAAAGCATCCTGTTAGCATTACAGTGAGTACAAAGCAGACACCTTCAGGCATTGTGAAGCGGACATCTGCTGGTGATAAAATATATTGGAAGGTTTGCGAGTATTTATACACTTCTGAAAGGTCTTCATAACCTGGAGAGGCTTTCTATTACCAAATTTAGAAAAGGCTACGACACCGCTGATTTATTAGGAGCTTGACCTATTTAATATTTTGTTCGGTTTGAATATTTTGTTCACTACCTCATATTTCTTAAGAGCGAGTTGGTAAGGACAACACTTTCGTAATATTTTTCTAATATTTATCAAACTTCCAGAAGCCTCTCGGCGCAACGCACCTGCCTGCTCGTCACTAAAATGAATGTTCAGTATGATGCTGCGACATGATGATGAAGAAAATCAATCTTACACTGGCGCGACGAAATTTTAAAGGAAGGCGCCAAACAACGTGCAAAACCGCCGAGCATACGCAAAAGGTCGCGGGATGCGGTTTAACGAATGACTGCGGTAAGTTAATGTGACATAAGATTCTCCAAATGCACGCAAAGGAAACCTAAACTGTCAACAAGACGTGACGTTTTTAAGTTCAACTGTCAGTCTCGGGCAGTCCCAGCGAACATTATTTCAACACAAGCTGGTTTGCGGGAACTTGAATGGCCTTATCCCCTCCCCTCCTAGACGGCGATGATGTAGCTCTTTGCGTTATTTATTTTCGCTTACTTTCTTACCATTATAAAAGGCATTCGTGAATTTTGTTGACGCAAAATATCAATCTTAAAAAAAATGTATAATTAGGGTAAGGCTTTCGTGAGTGCTTAAATTAATGTTAATTTTCGTATTGAACGTTTTAGTTCCGTTTTCATTAAATTGGCCAACTCACAGCTGCTCAGCCTCATAGAGTTATTATAATGTACGCTAGAGGTTCAAGTGGCGCTAGTGTGCTGACGCAAATTGAAGCAGACAGCAACCAGTCGAAAATTGACTTCCGGTAATACATTTCTATGGGAAAAAGTGAGTGCATTTTCTCTCTGCGCTCGATCATAAGAGCAAATATCCTGAATAATTCATGCGTAATAGGTAGCTTAGAACATTTCTCGGTCATGCCGACGAAATAATTGGTCAGTTACGGTGTTTTTCTTTCAAATTCATCGCATTAAAAACGGTGCTAAAACAACTTCGAACGTGTATTTATGTGCACTGTCGGACACAGTTAGCGCGAACACGACGTCGGCGCTTTTCAGCGTGGGGGATATACGTGCCAAACGAACGAAGAACATCTGAAAATTAAGAAAGACGGCAAGAACTACGCAGTAACACCGGATCAGTAACATACACGTGCATATACGATCAAAATTAATTGAAGGCCACGTAATCTATTCCAATTTAAATAAGTAAGTACCGTTTTATTCTTCCTGCTCTGAGCGAAGCTGCTTGTTTTACGTTCAAAATATCACTCGCACGCTCGAAATCATTGAGAACAAGTGCCCGATAAAAGCTGCCCGCCAGAGAAAACAATACGAAGACACCTTTCATAGCCCACGGACTTTATTTCTCTACGTTTTGAATGTTTTTATCCGCTCATGCACGACGGGGTCATTTTTATATAGTGACAGGACTGGCATATTAGCAATATATAAGCGTCACCGGATTGCTGACGAGCCTTGAACGCACTCTGCATTCCTTTCGATTGTAATTTTGCTTCGAATCGTCGCTTGTTTTTACACACCTGCTGCGGAGCACATGTTGGGGACTGAAATGTAGCGAAGTTAAACATCGTTCACTGATGAAGAAAAATGCGCTAACTAAAGCAATTACACTTTTACAGTGTTAATCAAGGTACATACTATTCGGTACGACCCAAATAACCAAAGTGTTCCGTGTTATTTTCCGGCGAAGAGACAAAATGCACGCGCGCTTTCCCATAGGAATACACAGGAAGACTGGAAAAGTAGACTGGTTGCTGTCTGCTTCAATTTGCGTCACGGAAGTCGCATAGACTCTAGCGCCAGTTGAACCTCTAGCGTACATTATAATAACTCTATGCTCAGCCTTCACCGAAATTATTTTTATTTGTTTGAAAAGAAAGACCGAATCTATGCCACTTTAATCTTGCCCTAATAACAGCAATAATGCTTTTTAATACCTCTAAGCGTCTTGAAGAAGCTCTTATTTTAAGCTGCAGACTATATAACCTATTTACATGTTTGGTGACGCCAAAGGCCAAATGGAAGCTGTGTTTGAATTTGGACACTTGTCAAATCCCCTATTCCATAAATGTTGCATCTCAAACAAAATTAAACTAACATTTTATTAATCGTGAGAAGCTGCAGAAAAAACTTCAAACTACGGCTCGATAGGCTCTATGTAGGCAACGTATGCTCTAAATATGACACCAACTCAGATTTAGTCATTGAATCGCGCAGCTAACTATGTAATACCCGAAAAAACTTCACAGCTTGCGCAATAAAACAGAAACCTGATAAGCGGTTGCAGTTCTCTGTCTTCTTCACTAATATACGTAGCGTCATGCCCGAGCGGGATGACCTACACAGCCTCATTGACGATAGCGCAGCCGACATTATGATCCTCAGAGAAACCACCTGGTTAAGTGAACACACGCCTGGAGTATTTCCACCCCACTTGAACTACAATATCTGTCGTCATGACCGGCGCTTAAGAAGGGGCGGTGGCGTCCTAGTTGCCATAAAGGATAACATATCCTCCATCTGCATCAATCGCGATACTAATCTTGAGCTAATGTGGGTATGCTTCACATCACCCATTTCCGAAATAATAATCGGAATCTGCTACAGAGCACCCGAAAGCACAATGACTTTACTGATAAGCTGCGCAACGCGCTCTACAATCTTAGAAACACTCGCCGTAAAGCGTCATTCTTCCTTTTCGGCGATTTTAACTTCCCAAATATCAATGGAACAGATCTAACAGTCGCACAGATATCTGCATAAAATGGATCTAGAAAATGTTTCGATCTAACTCGTGATTTTACGTTCACTCAAGTCATCATGCAACCAACAAGACTTGACAACATACTTGATCTTTTATTTTCTACCACCCCAGAACATATTCAGGACATCACTCATTCGCCAGGGTTAAGCAATCATCAAATGCTGCACATAACATTGTAGCTTCCCATTAACAGAAAAGCGCCTACACATACGTTTATTAAAGACTACAAGAGAGGAGATTTCATATTCTTTAATCATGCATTGCAGGCGTATTACGATGACTTTAGTAGAAAATTTAGCTCCAGAAATTTTGAAGAAAACTAGAATATATTTCGATCCAAGCTCAACGACCTCATCAACATATTTATTCCGACTGTCTGCGTTAAATCGGACAAAAACCACCCCTGGCTTAATAAAACTCTCAAGTCGCTAAATAACAAAAAGGAACGACTCTATCGAAAAGCTAAACAAACAGAGCTTACCCAAGATTGGGATGCCCATGGAAACATTTCAAAATAATATACCGCAAATATCAAACGTGCCAATATAAAATTTCTATCTGATTGCATGCCCTCTATCCTTCGGTCTAATTCAACTTGATTTTGGCAATTTTTATCGCCAAAATGTCAATCGCAATCACTGAAACTAACCGACAGCAATAACGACCCAATCATCGACAGTGAATGTGCAACGGCCCTAAACGACTTCTTTGTATCTGTGTTCACCGACTGAAGACCTTGACAATCTACCTACACCTCTTCAGGTATCTAGGCATATCATGCCACCTGTAACGATATCATCTCTTGGAATAACTACGCTGATTAACAAACTGAAGCGTTCGTCGTCAGCCAAGTCGGATAATATCAACTCCAAAATCCTCAAGAACATCGATGTAATCGCCAGTTCATATCTTTCAGTAATCTTCTAGCAATCCCTGTCTTGTGGCGGCTCTCCAAAAGATTGGAAACTTGGGAAAATAGTACCAGTTCATAAACATGGTAACCGATCACTTACATCAAGTTATCGTCCTATATGCTTAACGAGCGTCCATCAAAACGTTTGTAGCATATACTCAGCATTAACATAATCAACCACTTGCACTCAATCAACTTTTTTTTTGCTCTCACCAACATGTCTTATACACCAATGATTCTTAACTGAATTTTGTTATCTTATAAAACTGTGCTGAGCTGTGCTAGCGGAAGGTGAAATTAACACGCACAAGAAAGGTAGAAG